TCCGCCACCACGCTGCACTTCTTGGCCGTGAGCAGGCGCAGGCTGTCCTCCAGCTGCACCGCCAGCTGCAGCTGCTCCGCCACCGGGGCGCTGCCTTCACCGCCCGCCGCCCCCTGCTGCACCTGCCTCTCCAGGGCCTCCTCCACCTGGCGGAGCTGGGCGACCGACGAGTCCAGCTGTCGGTTGAGGGCCTCCACGGCCTGGGGCACTACCAGCCGCAGCACCTCCACCACCTTCCGCCCTGCCTCCACGCCCCGCCGCAGCTGCTGGACCTCTGTCTCCTCCGTTCTGGGCTTACTGCGAGGAGGCGCGCCGTCGTTTTCAATCAGCCGGATCACTACAATGTTGTCGGGAAGGTCGGCAGGATCGGCGTTCAGGTCCTGTAAACATACAATATGTCAGATGTGTTTTCCTTCAGATATTTCTTTTTTATTCAAACTATGTAGTAAAATAAGAGTGGTGTTTGTTCGTTTATTTTGAGATTATTTGTTGTGATTTTAAATGTTAAATATTGTGTCACTATCAAACCGTGCGTCCCTGCTGATTAAAGTTAAGTTTATAACAGACTGGTAAGTAATATTTTGCTTATTGGGGATTACCGTATCTAAGATTCACAAAAGTACATGTTCATTGCAATAACTTGTTTATGAAGTTCCTTGCAAGCAGACTTCTCCATACAACAATAATCTTTCAACTTCCTTTTTATTTAACAAAGAAGATAAAAATATCTTACACTGAACCATGCATGTATACAAAAGTTAAGGACAGGTCCGGCTGGCTGGGCCGGCCCGCCACACCTCGCCGCCAGCCGGTTGCCTACCCGCCAGGCGCTCGGCCCGCGACGGTCTGTCCTGGCCGGCTGCAGCTGCAGGTGTGCGGAGCCTGGAGTCAGTCTACAGGGGCCGGCTGCACCATGGGTAAGGATGGTCACCGGTCACTCCCTTCACCTCCACCCCGCATGCTCCAACGCCCAGGCGGCCCGGCCTCGGCCTCGAGTGCCTTCCGCTCGGGCCGACCGACAAATAGCGACTGCTTGTTGGCGATCAGGCTATGTATTGAGAAGAAATGTACACGTCAACAGTGGCATTGCTCATAATATTGACACAAAGCACAAGTTAACTTAACAATCAATGGCAAAAACTTTTCAAAATAATCATTACATCTACAGCATTTATACAAATCGCAAAAACATGGCAGTGGACCACGGGAAGGGGATACGTTAGCTCGCCATTGCCACCACCACACTGTAGTCCACGATAAAGAAGCAGGTTTCAAGAACAATTCAGGCATTCCTTCTAGGATGCAGGCACGTTACAGTAATTGCTGCAGACCACATGGACGGGAGGGGGCAAGGAGTTTCCGATGATCCGACACTGCAGCAGGCAGCCCGCGAGCTGCTCTGTGCACGGGTCGTTTGGTGGACGTACAAGGACGAGCCGCCGCAGGGCCCGCAGACCGCACGTTCCCAGCTCCTCGCCGAGATCGGGAAAGTAGCATGCTGAATCCAGATAATTCTTACTGACGCTACAGAGTATGTGGAGCACCTGCAATGACGAGGCGTAGGCCTGGATCAGCGACAGTATGCTGTTCTTAAAGTGCTTTGCATTGACGCCAACTTTAAGCCACAGCAGGGCGCGATGCTGCGAGGGAGCGAAGTTCATATCCGCACAAAAGGCATTATATACCCGCAGGCTGCGCAGCCGGGGCATCCGCTCCAAACACCGCAACTGGTTTTCTGTTGGATACCATATCCCGAGCTCCTCGAGCTGCAAGGGAAGGTCCGGGAAGTCCAAGTCTTTAACGCATTTTACGTCCAGTCTTTTGAGGGACTTCATTTTCGCCACTTCCACCATCACGTTCGGCTGCACCTCGTCCTTGATCTGCAGCTCCTCCAGGTGTGGAGCAACGACGCTCAGCAGCCCCTCCAGACCAGCAGTGCCGTGAAAAATCTTGAGGCTGCGTGTGTGCTTCCATCGTTTTCTGTCTTGAAGAATGTCATTAATCATGAGGCGGCCATCTTTAAAATCTTTTTCAGTTGTCTGTAGAACAGAGATGATTGGCGGTCCCACGTAAACTCCACGTTGGTCAGAACAAGCGGCCACGTCGACCTGGAGAAGAGAGGGCGGATATGAGCGACAAACCCAACACACCAAGGTGACCAACATCTGGACCGTCTGCCTGGTGGCCTACCTTCTCCAGCTGGTCGTCCGCCCGCAGCGGCAGCAGCAGAAGCCTCAGGATGTCGCCGAACCCTCCGAGCTCCGCGCAGGCCCTCCAGGTGGCGCCGTCCTCCTCCTCCGCCACCACGCTGCACTTCTTGGCGCTGAGCAGGCGCAGGCTGTCCTCCAGCTGCACCGCCAGCTGCAGCTGCTCCGCCACCGGGGCGCTGTCCTCACCGCCCGCCGGTCCCCGCTGCACC